GTCTCTGACTGCAGAGTTAAAGGATGTCAGAAGATCCTTTAGGTGCAGCAGATGGACGTGGAGATGGGTTTTCTTCCACAAACGCTCAATTTTTCTGCATTGGCGCTTTAGGCTGCGAATGCTGTCATTAAACCAGGGAGTAGGGTTCAGTGCAGGAACTGATCTGGTTCTGACAGGACAGATGTTGTCCAGAATGGAGAGGCAGTGCTCGTTAAACTGAGAAGTTAAGGAATCTGGGTCGTTATCAGAAGAACAGGGTGGATCAAAAGCAGCAGAAAAATTGCCAGCTGTGCTCTCATTAAGAAAACGAGAACAAACCAGACGGCGAGCAGGAGGTGGGACGCAGACATGGACAAGTTAAAGAAAATGCAATGGTGATCTGAAATATAAACATCCTCAGGACAAACACTGTCAGCATTTAGACTCAGGGTAAAAACAAGGTCTAGAGTGTGCCCCCTGGTGTGTGTGGGGCCAGAAACATGCTGGGTAAAGCTGAAGGAGTCCATAAGGCTGGAGAAATTCATGGCAAAGTGATCAGAGGGATCATCAACGTGGATGTTAAAATCACCAACAATCACCAGTCTGGACAGCTTCACAGTGGAGGATAGAAAGTCACTAAACTCCTGAAGGAAAGAACTGTTTAGACCCGGTAGACGATCAACCACAGCACAGTAGAACGGGTCCTTACGCCCGACTTTAATCAGCTGCAGTTCAAAGGAAGCAAAGTGACCAGAGGTTGTAGAGCTACAGGGAAGATGGTCTCTGAAAACAACAGCTAGGCCTCCACCACGACCAGAACCCCGGGGCTTGCTAAGAAAAGAATAACCACTCGGGCAGAGTTCAATCAGACCAGAATAATCAGATGTTTGCTGCCAAACTTCAGTCAGAAACAGAAAATCCAGGTATTTAGAGAGAATTTAGTCATTGAGCAGGAAGGACTTATTGTTAACAGAGCGGGTATTTAATAGAGCCATGCTGAGTAAGGTGGAGGAATCAGAAAGTACAGAAACAGCTGAAGTTAGTGGACGTAAATTAGCAGGGTTAGATCCACGGTGTTTATAAAAACCACTTATGGAGGGAACAGGAGGAGAAACCACTGAGGAATGAGGATAAACCGACCTTAAAAAACTTGGATGGAGAAACCGCGCCGCAACACGGCCTGGCGGGAATACGGAAGTGGCGCTCAAGTTGCCAAACAAAGGAAAAGAAGCAAGAAGATCACGCTAATGTTTACTAGATAAACCACGCTTTAAGAAAAGTCTTATTCTCACCTGGATTCCTGCTCGTTTACCTCTTTTCCTCCGATGTTTTCCCGGGACCAGATAAACATCGCTGGAGGCGCCCTGGTTGGAATTGATGTTTGGCTCCTGGCCAGCGCGCCACTCAGGTAAGCAAACGGGGATGTACGTCCTCAGTGCATCTTGGGCGATTGTGAACGAACGGATGGATAAAAGAGTCTGGCGATCATAGGAGATGGTAGCAGGGACACTACCAAAGAGGATCATAGGCAGCAGAGGACGAGGTCGCCCTCTACTGCCCGCACCTCCCCCCCAATCACAATGTAGACTCCATTGAGGAAGAATAAAAATGCTATAAGTTGAGCACTTGAATTTCCTATTTGAGAGCAGAATTTCTTATCAATAGACAAACTTTTTAATTTGAGAATAAGATTTTATATTATTGCTCTCAAAACTCGTAATGCTTGCACTCAAAATGTCTGCCCTCTTTCAAATATACTTGTTCTCCTTCAAATCTATGTTTCTGTGCTCAGATTTTAAACTTCTTACACTGGTATTGTCTTCTCATGTGAAAACTTTTTCTCTGCACGGATCAAAACTGCTCCCACAAGTCTGTTCCCTGCTCTCACTCATTTTTTCTGCTCGCTCTCAAAACTTGGAAGTATAATCTCCTTGCAACCGCTCAGCCAATAGGAGAACTGTACGGAACTGGGCGGTGAAAAACGCTTGGGGTTCGCTCGATTTTAAAGCGGGTTATCCCATAGATATGAATATGTAGACGCCCAATTGGGCACTGGAACAGCTGTACCGCCATATTAGATGGGTCTCCTCACACTCCATAGTCAATGCAGAGCAGCAGTGACTGTAAGAGATGCAGATGCAGAGTGAGCAACTACGCCCGTTTCTGTGCATTTTTGGTTGGGTAAACACCTTCCTCAGTAGAAATGAATGCACCGGGGGCAAATGGAGACCTATCTAAAATGGCGGCCGGCCGCTACGGCGGCTCCAATAGACAGCACCAGTCCACGAGGCGTCTACGTGCATATGTCTGTGGGTTATCGTGTGTGGCTTCAACAGTTAGCTACATCTGGTCTTCAGCTATCTGTTCCACATTATGATCATCATGTGAACGTCGTTGTCAGTGTCATGGTGTTGAAGCTGATGAAAACTAATGAATTATTTTGGCCAGACAGTCTTTGTTGTGTTTGTGTCTTTGCTCATAAACCAGGCTTCACTATTTCTGGTAACATCATCCTTGTGGTCTGTCTTACAGGGATCTCTAGTGGTAACACATTGCAATAACTACTGATCATAACATCCCCTTTTCTTTGAGATGACTCTCAACCCTGTTTAACATTACAAGGTAACATATATATATATATATATATATATATATATATATATATATATATATATATATATATATATATATATATATGTGTGTGTGTGTGTGTGTGTGTGTGTGTGTGTGTGTGTGTGTGTGTGTGTATATACCGTAAATCCTCTAATATTAGCCTGTATTTAATTAACTGCCGGGTATCATATTTTGGCCGGTGTCGGAGTCAGCAGAGGTGAATAATGGCCATTTTTTATTGTGGCTGGGTGGAATGTGGTAACAAGCAAATACGGGGGGCAGTTGTGTCATCCGTCTCACTTTTGATTTGCCAGTGATAGACCGCGAGGTTAACTTTAACCGTGCGGAGACGAAGAGGAGGTGAAAATTTGATATCAAGTTCAAAGAGCACGTACTGTTTATGCTGCAGAACACTCTGGGGAACAGTAGCAGGGGTTGTATGAACTAGTCACTAGTCGACTTCACCGCTCTATAGTGACTTTTTATGCCTGTCATCGACTAGTCGCTGTCACGTGATAATGACCGGCAAGATACAGTCCACGGAAAAGACAGCGGCCTGCTGTCAGCAGGTGACAGGTGATGCGCGTCAGGAGGCAACGCGCTGTGCCAGAACGTCGGTACTGACACCCGCCGTAAAACGGACATTTAACCAAATTGTGACCTTTACCCTCTTGCAATTTAACATTCCCCTCACCCCCATCCTAACCTTAACCAGCTTGCGCATGCAAAGCTCTGATTGTTGACGCGCTCCAGACATCTGCGTCCTGAGCACGGCCACAGTAACGTTATCAAATCAGGTGTCGCCACCTCAAAAACTAATTTAACACGCGATCGTTCATGTCGGCTCATTTCCTTTTATGTCTTCTGTCTTTTAATCTTTTATTTGTGCCTGATGCGTTTCGCTGCTGTGGATCGGGGCGCATCACCTGTTTTGTCCTCGGTGACGTACCTAACTGATGTGGCCGGCGAGCACTTCGCTGTTTTTGCGGTCGGTAGATCTTTTAGAACTGCAGTTCAAAGGTAACTCATAAGGTGAATATATATGAACCCAGGTAGTAGTTTTTCTTTAGGACTGAGAGGAGATGCAGGAAGATAATAAACAGGCAGGACAGAAAAAATAGTCAAATAAGAACAAGTTAGTTTTTGTACCTGGTGGTTGGAACAAACAGACACCATTGAAGGTAATCAGAAGGGAGGAACAAAAAATTAAATGATTCTTTCGATGTTTAGAGCAGCAGGAACTCTGAGAGGCTGCAGGCACATCAGTGAGTTTGCGGAGGCTGCGCAGGGGGAGGGGGAGATGGCTGAAGCAGGAACAGTAAAGATGCAAAAACTACCGTTGTTAAAAGAAATGTGTGTTAACTTAGAAAATGTGGGCGCAATTTTAATTACTTCTCAATATTTTTCTCCAACGTTAGACTGCTGCACACAAAAAAAGACTGCTGCTTGCGTGGGCCCCCTTGTGGCTGTGGGCCCCTGGGTCTGTGCCCAGTTTGCCCATATTATAATCCGGCCTTCCGTACCACTGAAAAAGCCTGATTACCCCGGGGTCCCAGCTTTATTCTGAGAATCACCAGATGATTCTGAGTACTGGATCTCAATAAATTGCATTTTTCTACATTAGTAAATCGTTTTACATATAGTTTTGCATTATTTTTGGTGATAAATATACTTTACGCAACAGAAAATCAGAGGAGCCACTTGGGAGCCGAAAGAGCCGGCTCTTTTTGGTGAGCTGAGCCAAAAGAACCGGCACTCTTAAAAAGAGCCGTAGTTCCCATCAGTAATCCACAGATAGCGAAAATGAGTCCACCTGTTCCTGCCCAGTTCTACGTCATCTTTCTATTGGCTGAGCGGTTGCTAGGAGATTATACTTCCAAGTTTTGAGAGAGAGCAGAAAAAATCTGTGAGAGCAGGGAACAGACTTGTGGGAGCAGTTTTGATCCGTGCAGAGAAAAGGTTTTCACGTGAGATGACAATACCAGTGTAAGGAGGTTAAAATCTGAGCTCAGAAGCATAGATTTGAAGGAGAACAGACATTTTGAGTGCAAGCATTACAAGTTTTCAGAGCAATGATATAAAATCTTATTCTCAAATTAAAACGTTGGTCTCTCGATATGAAATTCTGCTCTCAAATAGAAAATTCAAGTGCTCAATTTGTGGCATTTTAATTCCTCCATATGCTAACCTGACAGCTCTATTAACGTCACATCATTTATTGTTTATCATCCCACACCCACTGTGAACGTCTCTAACGTGCACTATTACTCTGTGCACGTCAGAATCATGTTTCATTGCATACATTTTGACTTGACCTTTACTTTGAAATTAATCAGCACACAACAGATGACGCTTCATCACACCTGAAACGTCACATTTTGGGCTTTTTCATCAACAACATAGACGACTGGTGGTACAGATATTTTATTATATAACATGTGAAGGTTAAACATGACCCTTATACAACCTTATCCTCTGAACCAGAGCCCGTTGAGGCAGCAGGAGAGTTTATACAATCATTTTTACACTTTTTCAGCTAAAAGATACAAAGGTTTGGGTTAAAAACAATCATTGCTTTAAGCTCTTTGTATTTCCTTCACCACGGCTGAACTTCCTTCTCAGACACAAACTTCCCGTGAGGCTCTGTGGCTCCAGGCGGCAGCAGGGCCAGGTAGACCGGCGTGACGGCGCCCTCATCTGGTGACTTTTCTGCTGCCTGACCGGCCATGTCAGTGCGTACCCATCCTGGACAGGCAGCATTCAGCAAGATCTGGGTGAGGAGTGCAACAGTTAGACTTTAATGGACAGAAATTGATGTGTTATTAAAAATATAAATGTAATGTAGCTGTAGTTCAGTCACCCCATCATTTGGTCTCTGCTGGGACAGACGACGAGCCAGAATCATGGATAGAACCTGATAACACACAGATTAAAAAAACAGATGAAATCCATGTGTAGTCTATAGTTTCACCACAGGAGTAAAGTGTTAACAGTCCTACCGTCAGACCCAGTTTAGACACTCCGTACGCCGTATCGGGCCACCCTCCCTGTTTGTGCTCGCCTTTCTGGGCCTGGTCGACGAATCGCTGCATCAATCCCACCAGCTCGTCCTCTGTGATGTCCTCACTACGGAAACGCTGCTGCAGCACAGGACTGCACTTAGCCAAAGTACTGGAGCCAACGAAGCTGGAGATGTTCACCACACGACCTGGTAACACACACAGGGATGAAGCTGCAGGCCTGTTTGGACTCATCACAGAAGTTGTCTGATCTGTCCGTCAGCTCAGATTAATAAAGCCTAACAGAGCTGTTCAGTTCTGTGTTCGTACCTCCAGCTTTGATCAGCGGCAGGAAGTGAGTCAGCATGTCTCTGGCAGCAAAGAAGTTTGTCTTGAGGGTCACCTCGGCTTGGACGGCAAACGGAGTCGTGTCTCCCACTAAAGAGTTCCTGTTACTTTTATCTCCTTTTTGCAATTTCAAGTTAAACATTCAAACTCACAATACGGATCAAGCTCCTCTCTTCTGTTTTACCTCCAAACGCGATCCCAGCGTTGTTGATGAGGACGTCCACCCCTCCATACTTCTCCTTAAAGAAGGCAGCGGAGCTGCTGATGCTGTTCAGGTCGCTGACGTCCAGCTGATGGAACAAGGCCTTCAGGCCCTCAGACGCCAGAGAAGCCACCGCCGCCTGACCTCGCCCTCTGGAAGCGGAGGAAATAATGTGTGGGGCATAAAAAAGGGCAAAGAAATGAATAAGTTTTAGAATATGGGACATTTTTTACAGAATGTTCCAAATAACCACTGATGAGACCACACGACACGCTAACTTTAAAATGCTCTACAACTGTCTAATCTTTTACAAACAAAGGCTTTCTACTCAAAATCTTTGTAACACGGAGACAAATTATAGATAAAATGTGATAATTATGAAGGAAATCATGGTGGTTAGTGGCTGGAAGCAGATTCATGTAGCGCAAGTTTTACTAACTTTACCTAAAAACCTTTAAAAATATAACAGATTAGATATGTTTGGGTATTTATGCCATCTCGGTTAGCTTGCTCTATTTCCCATGTTACTGTAAATAAATCATTGATGTTTGTAGGATTTTTTACCCCATTGTGTTTGAGTTGTTAAAAACTTTTATTTGAAATTAAAATCAGAAATCATTTTACTGAATAGTGGCTGGCTGGTAGCGAAGTCTGGCAGTACCATAGCTGGACCAGCAGGTGTCACCATTCTTCCCTACATGAGGAGGTTCTTCAGAAAGTTTAGGCTGGATTTGTTGCTCATCTGTTCTGACCATAGACTGTACATACGGTTCTGACGGAATCAAACCTTCACAGACATCCTAACTTCGACACGACGCTAGTGCACCCACTTGTCTCTGGCTGTGAGGTAAACGTCGCCTTGGAACTGCTGGCAGAGCGCTCTGACGATGGCCAGACCAATGCCCTTGTTGCTTCCCGTTACCACGGCAACCCTGGTGGACATCTCTGCAGCGGATGTCATGTTGGATACACACTGAACAGCAGCAGAATAAACCTTTTATATGAACATACTGAGTACTGAGAGGTGTGGGACTACTTCTGCTGAGTTCATTTAAAGGACATAAATTCAGAGTTTTGTTCAAATAAAACAAGAAATTAATACAATAATTAAAAAGGTTAAATTATCAATAATCAAAGGGACTGCTGTGCGTTTAATTGGGTTTATGTAGGACTGCTTTTGCTGAAAAGGCACAGCCAGCATGGAAAACATTTCAGCTTAATTTAGGACATTATTTACTAAGTTAGAAATAACTTCTTAGATCAGAGTCTGACGTGATCATGTTTTATATTGTTTGCATTTGAAACTTTTGACGCAGGTGCTGCAGTCAGAATCACCATTTCTTGGTCATTTATCGCTGAAAATTCCAGGTTAAGAAGTAATAAAGATGCTTCTTTGTCGTACAGGAAAACTGCGGGTCATCGGAAACAAACACCAACTAAGCGGAAGCAGAAACCCACTAAAACCATTAACCCGCATCCATGACTATGGGTTACATCTGTAGCCTAAACACTGCTGCTGAAAGATTTAATCAGGTCGAATAGACATTTTGAGACACAGCAGCAGAGATTAAAAGTGAGCTAAAGTGAGCTATCAGCAAACAAAATGAGAATAGATATGTGTAAAGTCACCTTTGTTTACAATGAAACAGCTTTTGATATTAGAAGAGGTGAGATTGAGACTTAACTCTTACTTCCTGCTGCTGCTCTTCCCGAGTGAAGCGGTTCGGAGCAAGAAAACGACTTCAGAGAAAACGAGGAAACATGCGCATTTCAGATCTGCGCAGCTACCCGGAAATGTAGATCTGAAGACATGGGCCCAATCTCAATACTCGCACTGCGCCCTGCGGTTAAAGTGCACTTGGAGAAAGTGCGCAGTAGGGTTCGAGTGTGTAGCACACAAGTGTGCAAACAATTAATTTTTTTTAAAACAAGCTTCATTTGTTTTTTGTCACAAATACAGAATCAAACTAACAAACAAACATACATCAAATATACACACGAACAGAAATCAGCTCATTAACCGACAAGAGGCACATAACAGATAATACAACATTCCAAAAGGCACGTTATGCTTTTTTTTCTTTTCTTTTCTTTTTGTTATACAGGGTCAATTAGAAATAAACATTGAAGATTCATTAAAGTGAGTTCTGCCTTCTTATTTACAATTAACTTAATGGTGTTTACATATGAGTGAAAGTCATTTAAGAAAACGCTAAAGTTAGGGAGAGATTTGGAGACCCTCGCTTTATGTATATGAAATTTCCCTAAAAGAAGCATTAGATTAATTATAAAACTTAACATTTTATCATTACATTCAAACTTGACAATGACATCCTTAGATCTGATTTGGATAGTGTGTTTGGATTTAATCTTAATAAAAATTTCCATATGTTTCCAAAATCCATATGAGAAAGGACAATTATAAAATAAGTGTATAACAGTCTCTGAACCAGTATGACAAAAGGTACATTTTTCATCCAGATCTTTGAACAATGATAATTTTTTATTACATGGATAAATATTGTGTAAAATTTTGAAATTAAGTTCCCTTATCTTGTTTGAAATACAGTATTGAAAGTGAACCATCCATGCTTTTTTCCAATTTATCAGAACTGTGTGTTCCAGAAAAACTTTCCTTTGGGTGCCACCGTATTAGAACAACATAAAACCTTCCTTATATGTTTATTTGAACATTTCTTGTCAAATAAATCAATATCCTCAACCTTTAGAGGAGGTATCTGCAAACTAAATCTCTGATAAACAGAGTGTGCTCTCATTAACTCAACTATGCCTGAAGAAATGGCTCTCATGACCGAGGCAAATTCTCTGTATTTCACTGGAAAATCCTTAGTTTTCAAAATGTTTTCATAGCTATAAAGGCTTCCGTTATCATCAAATAAATCTGCAGCAAAAATAATGCCCTTTTCAACCCAATTTATTTTGTATAAGCTTTTGTTGTTTAATATTACCATTATTCCATAATATTTCTTTATGTGGGGAGAAATTATGTGTAGGGCATAATTTCCATACAAAGTAAAGTCTGCTGGTAAAACATTGAAAGTTTCACTGGTAATATAGAAATAATAACGTTGCAACGTAACAGAAAATTTAAACCCCCTACCATTTTAAATATGTTATGCGAATAAAATTCCAAAAAGATTTTGGCATTTCTAGACATTTTTTAATCCATTTGACTTTAGTTCTAAGCCTCCCCTTGCTCTTTCCAGATAGAGTATGTCTTTTTTTTAGATGATGATACCTGTTCTTCCAGACAAAGTTTACAAATAAACTGTTAATTTCTTTACAAGTTGCATCATTACATAAAGGGAGAGAGCGGGATATACTAACCTTGATATGCCTTCCGCTTTTGTTAACAACACCCTGTCAAAAATAGAGAGGTCCCTTTGCAGCCACATATTAAGAATCAAATGAGTTTTTTTAATCCTTGATTGCAGATTTAATGTTTACCTCATCATTTTGTCTTTTATTATGTGAATTCCTAAATAACAAACAGTTTGTTTGATGGGAATATTTGTTGGATACATTATGGATTCATTATTTATGATTTTAAACAAAGCTTCATCCAGCCCATTTTTCCCTGGCAACAGACTACGGCTAACCTCCTACACTCGCTTGCAAATCCAACTCCCAACTCGCCACAAGGCGTGGCCGAGACTCTCAATGCTTTTATAACTTTGACACAGAGCTGCTATGTAGTACTCTACTGGTTTACGTAGTATCTTACTCTTTAGCCATTGGCTAAAATTTATTCAAAATGAGTCAAATTCTATGTTTTAAGCTGAAGGTGGAGCTATACTGTAGTATTTAGGCAGCATTTTTAATTTTTAAAGAAAATGCACCAAAATGCTAAAATAATGAATACACACATTTAAAACACTATTAGACACTCATTTATACAGTTCATCAGCAAAAAAATTGAAACGCACAGCATCTGTAATTTCTGAAAATAAAAGCTCAGCATCACAAGAGTCTTTAAAGGCCTCCGATATCAGAGGTGTAAACATCCTAATACGATTTAAAAATCTGTCACAATTGGTCTGATTAATTTTTGTAGAATACAAATCACTGTAAAATGAGGTAGTATAACTGGCGATCATAACAGGGTCTGAGTTTATTATACCATTAATATTAAGAGCCACAATGTTGTTTCTTTTCCTGTTTCTTTTTTCTAGAGCAAAAAAGTAACTAGTTTTTCTCTCCTTTCTCTAACCATTTAGCTCTAGACCTTATGAATGCACCTCTAGCTAAATTGACATACATTTTATCAAGTTCATCTTTTAGATTGGACAGAATTTTTAATTCACTTTCAGACAAGTCTTGCTTAGATATTAGGGGCTCTAATTTAACAATTAAATTTTGCATTTTATTTGTGCTCTGTTTCTTTATTTCTTTACAACATTTTATTGCGGTTTCTTGAACCTTATGTTTGAAAAACTCCCACTTTTGAATTGGATCCATCTCCCTTTCCTTAAAAGTTTTCTCAACCAAAAATGAAACACTTTCCTTCAATTTTCTATCATCCAAAAGGTCATTGTTAAATTTCCAATAGCCTCGAATACTTGGTTGTTCTTTAACTCCTTTTAATCTAAGACTTATTAATTTATGATCAGATAATGGGGCATGTGAGTAAGAAACATCTGTGACATATTGTAATCCATGTGTAGACATTAACCATAAATCTATTCGTGACCGGGAACTCCTGCTAGAATTGGACCACCATGTATATTGTGTAGCATCAGGGTTCATATATCTCCACACATCTGTAAGATGGTAATTTGCGCTCAAGAATTCAGTAGGTTTGAAACTTATTGATGTAAACCTTGGAGGAAGCCGATCCACAGTGTCATCTGAAACATCATTAAAGTCACCACCAATAATTAAAATGGGGTTGTTGTATTTTGCTTTCAAAAAATCCAACTTTAAAGAAAATTCCTGAAAAACAGTTCTTGCCTGAGATAAATTATTTGGGCCATAAACATTCCCAAAATAAAATGTTGGTTATCTAATTTCAGAGCCAACATAAGCCAGCAACCTTCGTTTGACATTACAAACTGCAGTATGTCACCACAAAATCTATTTAACAGAATTGCCGTGCCAGCAGAGTGATTTGAGACATGAGAAAAAAAAAATGCAATCCCCCCGTTGTGACTTCCAAAACTTTTCGTCATCCTTGCATGAATGAGTCTCTTGCAGAAAAACGAAGTCTGCATTGCAGTTCCTACAAAATATGAAAATTGCCTTTCTTTTTGTGATTTCCTGTGGACCCCTAACATTAAGTGAACAAACATTTAGTGCCTTAAAACTAAAACTTGTCATATTTGAACAAATTGCTGAAGTCAGTAACACTCACTCAGAAGAAAGAAGATGAAGTAAAGAAAAAAAAAGAATAGTACTTACGAACCTTTATCCTTAACTGCAAGTACCCATTTGCTTTATGTGCATTTTTAAACCTTTTTCAAGTATTAACTGAAAATAATTTTACCAGCATCCATCGTCACACAGCTTTAAATCTACGTCTAGTGAGTGACTTTTTTCCCTTCTATGTAAACATGAGGGCCTCTGAAACCAGCACGCTTTCCTTGCTTCCTAGCTTCCTCCACTATCGGCCACAACCGATTTCGCTCCATCCGGTCAGCCTGTGTCAGATCTTCCTTCAGGAACAGTTTCTTCTCTTTAAGTGTTTTGTTGTCACGGGATACCTTCCAGATCTTGATTCTGAAAGCTCGCATAGTGAACTGAATAATGACAGGTCGAATGGAATTGTCCCGGACTACACCAACCCTGTGCACAGCATCAACAAGGAAATCCAACTTTTCCTTATCCTCTGGTGCAAGCGCAACAAAGAGCTTCATTATCTCCTCTCTGATGTTTTCCCCAGGTGTTTCTTTCTTGCCATACAGCCGCAGGTTCCAGCATCTGCTGTATCGTTCGGCATCATCACTTCTTTGCTGCACCTTAACCATCTGCTCCAATACATCTTAAATCTTGTTTTTGTTCTTCTGTACATGCATTTCAACTGCTTTTAGCTGATCACAGATATTAGCAATGACTTCTGTATTTTTAGGTATTTATTGCTCTAGCGTTGCAAAGCGGCCAGGCAGTTCCATTACGGCTTTCAATATGTCATCATTAGATGTTCCTCCAGGTGAGATATTAGCTGATTTTGCTTTTTTTGTATCAGGGCTCTTTGTGGGTGTAACAGGTAGTGGAGTGAAAGCAAGTCCTGCATACCTTGTTGCAGTAAAGAGGCTTCCTCTTTAGAATTTTTCGGTCATCTTTATGACATTTCAAGAGTTGAGCTGAGATGACTGTAAGCTAGCCAGCTAGAAACAGTGGACATGGAGGTGAATATCCTTTCAGTAACAAGTTATTCTTCCTCTTATCTTATGCATAAACGGTGCCTTGAACAACAATGACGGCAGTACATGGTTTATTTGCCTTTGTCAACGTGGTACAACTCACAGTCACGGAGCTCCTCACAACACACTGGTCGCCATCTTGAGCCGACCCCCACCAAGTGTGCAAATAATTGCTGAATTGAGACAGGGAGCATTGCGTCATCGATCGCAACGTGTGCCAGTGTCGGTACAGGACCTGCTCGGGGTCCTTCGACTGCCGATGACGTCACATTACTGCGAATCTACTCGGCTTTCACACATACGTTTTAGAAAGACATCAGCAGTTTTGTTAATAAATTCTTGTTTGTAACACCTAAATGTTTTCTTTATAATTGTAATTTGTTAATAAAACACCATACTATCTTTGTTTTGTAAAGAATGTGAGACTGCATAAAACCAATATCGGACTGACAAAAAATAGAACAGTTCTTATATGTGAAGCCACATCTGTTTGTATTAATGTGGAGTTCGTCTGTATATTTCCTTAGTTGTTATCTAAATACATTATTTGACCCAAAATATTGCTTGGTGTCTTTCCATAAAGTTCTTATAGTTTATTTTGCCCCATTTCATCAACATCAAGAGCTTTTGAGGGTCACAGTTTATCATTTGCTTATATTTTACATTTCCTTTAGAAATTCAAACATATTTTCTCCAAAAACTGTTGATTTTTTGACTACAGGACTACAACCGCTAAGACTACTACCGCAAATTTGTTCTGACCAATCTAAATCATAACGTGATGACGTCACTTCCGTAAGCTTCATGTTCAGCCAATCAACTACTTTGACGTCATCGGCAGTCGAAGGGACCCCGAGCCGATCCTGCACCCGAGCAGATCTTGTACAGACACCGGGATGCTGGTCGCTGTAAATGTTTTTTTTTTTTTCAAAAACCTTTAACAACTTTCAAAAAACAATAAAGCAATTATTTGAAATAAATTTAACTTCATTGCTGTTATGTTTAAAACATTCAGAGCATCAACTAATCGTCCTAAAATGAACGAATTTCAATAGAAAATACATATTTTCAGAGAAGGAACTTGAGCCTTTTCTCCCGCAGCAAAGACTTCTGGGTAATTCCCTTGCCTGAGGTCTGCATCGCTGCGGACTTGGGTGAAGTACAGATTAAAGCTTGGTTTATGCTTGACGCATTCACTTTCCGCTTGGTGATGCGGCTCGCGGATGGAACGCGCTTCACAACTTGCAGCGTTTATGGTTCATGCGGCTTGGCTCTGCGGTGAGCCAATATTCTCCCAAACTGTAGGGGGCAGCATGGAGCTCTACGGCATGCATCCAACACTACGCCATAGTAGAAGTAGAAATTACTGTTGTTTATAACAGTTAATGAAAGTTGAGAGCCAACTCAGCTCTTTTAGAATTGGTGGAGTGTTCTTGTTTCCATCAGGATCACCGCTTTTATTATTCAGTTATTCAGAACGAAACTGAAAGGAAAGCGGAACCCCTGGAACATAGTTTTTGAAGAGTTATTGGACAGATAAAGTAGCAAACGCAAAACATCAAATGACTAACATGGCGGAGCTAATAGGTAGCCTTTCCGGCCATGACTACAACCTCGCGGCAATGAAAGAAGCATGTGCGGACGAAGACATATGGAGGAGATGGAGCATCAACAGATAGCAGCAAGATCCACTGGTGATCACACTCCAAAAAAAAGCCCCAATACAAAAAAACTGAAAAATAAAGCTACCAGGAAACAGGTGAGCAATGAAAATATCTATGAAGCCCAGCTGGCCTTTACAGAAAGATTTGAAGAAAGATTTCATCTGCTAAAAAAAATCTGAATGCTTTTGACCTTAGGATAGAGGCAAGTACAAAGGCAACTGAAGAAAACAAAAAGGAAACAGACAAGCTGAAAACAAAGATGGAGGCTTTAACGAACGAAAACAAAGAATTGAAGGAAAGATGTCTGGAAAACTCAAGATATCGAAGAAGATGGGACCTCAGACTACTTGGCCTGGCAGAAAAGAGGATGAAAATACATGGCAGAGAGTGACTGGCATCCTGACGAGAGTGATTCCTGTGTTAGTGGAAAAGCTGCAGCTCGTGGTGGATACAGTACATTGAATCGGGAAGAAGGGCGACGCTGCAAACAACAAGCTGCCAAGACCGATCATCATTCAGTTTAGCATGAGGACGGCGAGGGATGAAGTGTGGAAGAAATCCAGGGAGGCCAGGGTCTGCAACGAACTGCACATAAACTTTAAAGGGACTTTTGAATTTTTATGCTCGCGATTGCCCCCTCAGGCCAAAAGCGTAACAGCAGCTTCAATAGTAGGCTTGTGCACGAGGCGCGCATGCTGTACGTGCACACTCCTTAACGAAAATAACAGCTGAGACAGTCCCATGTGTGTGTGTGTGTGTGTGTGTGTGTGTGTGTGTGTGTCCCGGAGGACAGAGGACAGGAGAATGTGCAGCTAATTAATTAAATAATTTGGTTTTGTACCTTTCTCTTCAGCACAGCCGACAAAGGTTTATGATGGGTCAGTCCTCCTGCATGCTCAGATCATTCCCTTCCCTTGCTTGAAAAATTGTTCCAAAATGAAAGTTGAACCCACATCTTTTTTATCTGTGAATTCAATGCCGTTCGGTGAGTCTCAAATAAAAATTTGGGCATCTTACTGTAAAAAAATATAGCATTAATGTAAAAACAAAACTCTAAATGACCTATATTCACACCCAGAATCGAATCCCAGGTCTTCTGCATGGGAGTCAAACATCTTACAAGGTGAGCTACACTCTAGTAACATTCATAATATCTGTAACTTTTATATCGTTGATGACACCTGAAACAACATTAAACCAAAGAACGGTTTGAAGTGAAAATGGCTATTTTGTTGCTAATTTGCAGGAAATATCTAGAAGAAAGTTCTACAGAAAGTAGCTAAGGGTCCTCAGAAATGTAGCTAGGTTTGTCACTAGGCATTAGGAACAGCGACAAAGTCGCTGAGTTGGCACTACCTCTCTCTCTACTGCTAAAGCTACTGATAGCAAATGCTACGGGCTATGCCTGAGCGTGAACATGAAGCAGCCTGCTCGACCTGAGCAGCTCTCTTTTTCTGTGATTTTACAGAAAAACAGGCAATCACAGTAAAAATGCCAGGGCTCATTCTACAGGACCAGGGCATTGCAGGAGAATGTATGAAGAAGAAATGTATTATTTCTATACATGTTTTGGCTGTCAAACTTCCATAATGCCCCTTTAAAGAGGACTTCTCCAAAGAGAATAGGGAAGCTTGGATCAAGCTGTGGTCCAAGGTGCTGGAGGCTCGAAACAACAGCAGAAGAGCATTCCTGAAAGACCAGTTTGCTATAATAGATGGCAAAAGAATCGACCTATAAGGTACATGCAGAAATAATAAAAGTGGAATGGCATAGGTAAATCTGGAGGTAGGTAAAAAGTTCTGGTTCCTAATAAAAAATAAATAAAATAATTAAAAAAAAATTTTTTTCACATTGACATACTGTATTTACAAGATAAGTAGGACTTTATGCTTACTCCTGCTAGAAGCAGTTCTTCATTTTTCTAGAGAATAAGAGTAGAAGGACAAAGCGTCTGTTCAAATAAGTTCTTTAAATGTTCGAGGCTTAAAAAACAAAGCGAAACGCAAGGCCATTTTTTTTATTTTGCATAGAAATTTAGGCAAACATTTTGTTTTTACAAGAGACACATTCCAGTAGTGATGATGAAACTTTCTGGAAACATCAATGGGGAGATGGTATTCTTTTTTCACGTGGTACTGCTCACTTGGCGGGAGTAATGATTTTATATAATAATTTTGCTGGCAACGTTATTGATCATAAAAGAGATGAAAAGGGACATTGGCTCCTGGTAATAGTAGAGTTTTGTGAACAAAAGCTCCTTCTTATCAATGTATATGGGTACAATAATAGGTCTCTAAATAGAAACATGACGACAAACTTCAGTAAATTAATTAAACAGTGGAGAACTAGATATAGCACTGATCAGGTTATAACAGGAGGTGATTTCAATTTGGCACCTAACTCATGGCTGGATAGGCAACCACCGAGAGGGAATAAACCGGAATATGACAGTATTCTTTGTGATTTTAGTATGTCAACTGATTTGCTTGATTACTGGGGGATGACTAACCCAAACATGAAAAAATATACTTGGTTCAGTCCAACAAACAACTGATTATTTAGTGTTTCCCCACTAAAAACAACCCTCCACGAAGACCACAATGACCCATCCTCAGCCGATTCAGTAGCACAGAGTCCCTCCTCCAAAAACCAAGAGCCACCCCATGTCCTCCGACCATTCTGTGCAACTCACACAACACCCTGCCCACCACCCCACCATCCCGAGGCCTGCCACAGCTTCATGGACCTCCCTGCCTATTGCAGAACAATACTCAGGGGATCCCATGTCGACCTCCAACCCCACTGCACCACTCTTAAGCGCCGCCTTGGCCACTGAGTCCACCTGCTCGTTGCCCACCACCCCCACATGTGCGGGGAGACCCAAACGAAACAAACCTCACCATGGCAGCCTCAGCGTGAGTGGCCGACTATAAGCAGAAATAAAAATTTAAAAAATGTTTTTTTTCAGTGAACTGCTCCTTTAAGGGGTTCAGAAAGAATGGTGTGTTGATCAGCCTGATCAGATTAGTTACCGCTAAAGTCTGATCAAGTCAGCTGATCAAAGTTAGCTCAGTATGAATCCATAAAATATAGCCTGACTAGATTATTGTAAATACAATAAAACACTAATAATAAAACATCTGATTTTGGTTTGTGACCTGACCCAAATCAGAACAGCCTATATTGAGAAACTACACTAAAATAACCAGATTCAGACTAAAACTTAGTTTATAAACCCAGGTTTGTATTTAAATGCTGAGTCTTCATCCTGCCCCACCTTGCTCTCCTCTGCCTTCATAGCTGATTTGCAGAAGCTCTGCTCTAACAATGCCTTTATATTTACACAGGTGAGTCATGCACACAAAAGCAAGTTGTTCAGGTTTGCGGTCAAGGTGTGCTCAGACTAAGGCAACACTTACTCGGTGCACTAAAAACAAGATCATTTGTCTAACCTGTGTTTCTGTCTTAATAACTCAGATATCTGGAACACCAAATTTATCTTTATTATTTACATATTTTTGCGTTTCTTCTGCCTCCCCTTTAATCTATCTCTGCACAGATTGATCCAGTTTGTGGGAACGTCTTTGCTCCTCTATGAATCACCTGCATGCCACTGAACATATTTTCTGCTTTTTCATTGATTGTTGGAGGAAAAACGATCATCAAGAACAAGATATTTTCAGGCATGATGATAATGTAATCTAAAATAGAAAATAAGTATTTTATTGTAGAAAAATCACTAGAACTGTTATTTTCATCTCATCAAAGTCAGTTTATTTTATTTTTACAAAGTAAACATAAGGGATAATGGTTTTAACCAGAGAAGGCAACATAATGAGTCAATAGATGCCAAAAACTATATCTTAGTGTTCACCAGTAACTAAACCATCCTGTAAAACACGACCTTCACTCAATATCTCTGTACTGATGATTTATTTGTGGAAAACCTCATTCCACATGAAAGTTTTGGTGAATGATAAAAAAGGAGATTCTTGTAACTTCTTCACCACGGCTGAACTTCCTTCTCAGACACAAACTTTCCGTGAGGTTCTGTGGCTCCAGGTGGCAGCAGGGCCAGGTAGACGGGCGTTTCCGCGCCCTCGTCGGGTGACTTGGGGGCTTTTGGGCCGGCCATGTCCGTGCGCACCCACCCTGGACAGCAGGCATTCAGCAAGATCTGAGAGACGAGTCAGAAACCACCAGGTTTGTAACGAGATGTTACCTGAACACAAATCCAGAAAAGTACGTAAAAAACCACTTTGATATTGTTCTTCGCTTACCCCATCGTTCGGTCTCTCTTTAGACAAACGGCGAGCCAGAATCATGGACAAAGTCTGTGGAAACAGTCATTAGTTGATGAACCGTTTCCCATGGTTACTCAGACAATTAAGATCTGGAATCAGTGTAGACGGTCTTTAGGTCTCACTGAATTGTCTTTTGCTGAGTTTCTGATAAGGAACCATATGTTTATCCCATGTGTGTCTGATGGGGCCTGTAGTGGGTGGGCTACTAGAGGCATACGTGCTCTATGTGATTCATATAGAGCACGTAGAACATAGAGACCGTTTCTCCTCGCCGACCAATTTACATAGAAAGCAGGTCAGATACGGGTTTGACTGTTTGGTATGCTACGTTTGACCTCTCATGCTGCCTTTATTCAACAAGATAAATGTTGCTTTAGATTCTACTGCCCCTTTCAGTATCATACCAATAATAATCATGCACACTAAGTCCTGGCGTTCGCCCGTTTCCATGCAAAAATCCAGATTCATCAATAACAGCAGGTGTTGAGCCATCTTTTATAGCCGATCCAGGCAAGGCTTTGTACAAGAGGCCCAAAATACACAAGAAAGTTTGACTGTAGTACTTTAAATCTGTCTTTTTATACAACATTTGCACATGAAAACAATGCATGTGGAAAAGAAATGAAAAAACTGGTGAGATCACTAACTGTGCCGTTATTCCTGCTGATACCTGTTCTGTCCCAGCGTCAGACACACAAATCCAAAGCATGGACCAAAGCAAATGGTGCACCACTTTCAACTGGATGACCCTGTCGCACACAGGTCGAGGATTTTTTTTGGATGTTGCGCCAACAATCCAACACCCAGGTCCAGCTCTCATTTTTATTTTAAAAGATCCAAACCGGTCCGATGGTGTGAGTTCAATTGGGTATAAAGTATACTCAAAACTTTCCTGTTTGATGTATGACAGTCCAAGATCTCATCGAGCAGGGACCGAGACGGGCGCAGCAGAAAACATTCAGAGTTCGACTTAAAGTGTCTCAGTTGTACCTAAAGAAATCTGAGTTGTAGATTTAAAATTTGGCCACCATTGTTCAAAGGAGACAATTGTACCATCAGCATATGAATCATATAAAGCATGTACAGTGTATGCGTGTACTGTATGCCTCTAGTAGCCCACCCACTACAGGCTCCATCAGACACACATGGGATAAACATGTGGTTCCTTATCAGAAACGCAGCAATTCGGTGAGACCTAAGGACCGTCTACACTGATTCCAGATCTTAATTGTCTGAGTAACCATGGGATTGGCCGAGTATGAAGATATCGAGCATGGAAAGGGCAGCCGAGAGCAGAACTAGAGGAGCACTAGAGACCTCCTCTGTCTTTTTAAAAAGAGAAAAACTGACAACGCCCCAGCCGGATGTGAAGGAAATCCATTAGTATGTAACCTTCCTTCCAACATGATTGAGACATTAAGACTTTTGTGATTATTTTACTGTAGAATTATTACTTATTGTACCTTTCACCAGGAGTAAAGTGATAACAACAACAACAATAATAATAATAATAATAATAATACATTTTATTTAAAAGCGTCTTACGTGACACCCAAGGTCACTGGACAGGAAAATACAATTAGTAAAATACATTAAAACAACAATAAAACACAATGAAGAAAATAACATAGAAACATAAACAATTCTAATTAAATCAGAGGTCATAGGCAGATTTTGAACAGGTGTGTCTTGAGTCTGGATTTGAAAAGGGTGAAACTGTCAATATTTATAATGTCTGGGGGGAGTGAGTTCCAGAGACTGGGGGCAGAGCGGCTGAAAGCTCTACTCCCGGAGGTAGCGAGACGGGCAGAAGGAACAGCAAGATGGAGGGAGGAAGATGATCTGAGGGAACGGGAGGGGGAAATACTTATAAGGTCTGAGATATATGGAGGAGAGAGGTTGTGGATGGCTTTGAAGGTATGGAGGAGAATCATGAAGATGGACCTGAATTTAACTGGAAGCCAGTGAAGCTGCTGGAGAACCGGGGTGATGTGGTAAAAGGAAGGTGTTTTGGTGATAATACGGGCTGCTGAGTTCTGGACCAGTTGAAGTTTATGAAGGAGTTTGGAGGGGAGACCACAAAGAAGTGAACTGCAGTAATCAAGACAGGAGGTGACGAGACTGTGGACAAGAATGGCGGCAGTGTGAGGGGTAAGGGAGGGGCAGAGAAGGTTTACAGATAGGAGATGGAAATAGGCTGACCAAGCTATGTTATTGATGTGAGCATGAAAAGAAAGTGAACTGTCGAGGATGACACCCAGACTCTTAATCCTACCGTCAGACCCAGTTTAGACACTCCGTACGCCGTATCGGGCCATCCTCCCTCTTTATGTTCGCCTTTCTGGGCCTCGTTAACAAATCGCTCCATCAGTCCCACCAGCTCGCCCTCTGTGATGTCCTCGCTGCGGAAACGCTGCTGCAGCGCAGGACTGCACTGGGACAACGCTCTGCAGCTGACAAAGCTGGAGACGTTTACCACACGACCTGGAAGCACACAGAGGACATCCAAAGCTTCTGACGGCTCACAGAAAATACGTTCTGATCAGATGAAAGAAACATTACTCTCTTCTTCTGCACTTTTTAGTGTGCTAAAGTTTTATTTTAGCAGCCCATCTTCATTACCTCTCATCCACCTGTTGAGTTAGTTTTAAAGTGGCCTCGACCAGTACATCTTTACTGCAGTCCCTGCACCAAGGCCCTCTCAGATAAGTGTTTTTGTGTGTTTAGCTCTGACCTGTGACCCAGAGAAGCTGAACCAATCAGTGTTGTGTTCAAACATTAATAGGAAACTAAAAAAAAGAATTGATCTTTATGCCTTTTACCACCAGAAGTCTGTGACAAAGAACATTTGTTCCAATTTCTTTGGTTGAAAGCAGAAACGAAGTGAAAAAAAACAGTCTGAGAGGCTTAGAATTATATTTTCACACTGAAGAGGCTGTGACGCCTCAAAAGGCATTTATGTCATTTATATTTTATGTTTCATTTAAAGTTATTCATTTATATGTTTTTAAGTTATAAAGAACAGTGAATAGGTTAAAAATGTTAAATGGGAAGATTTTATTTTGAAGGTGAATTTACTAATAACCTCACTTCCTGCTGGGTTACCTGTATTGGTTAATTTCCTGTTTACTTCCTCTTCCTGGCTGCTCTGAGAGTGAGAGTGGCATGCGGTCATGCTCTGAGGCGTTTCCACTGCCATCCACTTGAGAATATTGTTCAGGCAACGCCTTTTCACCGCTTGTCAAATGAAGGTCCTAAGAGTAAAAGGTCAACTCTGACTCCTGTATTATTTGACAAAGGTTTAGCTTGGTGTTTACTCAGAGTTGCTACACTCTGCAACAGGACACTACAGAGGCCTTAACCCGGCTATTAATGGACAACTTAGTTTATCTCAGAAGAGAGCAAAATCTCTACAGATGAAGTAGATAAATAATAATTTTAAAGTTAAATGTAGTAGGAAACAGCTAAATAACTCATAAACATGATATTTCATGCTGTTATCTCTAGCATTTTATAGTTTGCTTTACATACGCTGAGACTTGCAGTTTGATCAGATCTATTTACATTCAGGAATGAGGGCACTCTGAGTTTGAGACATTTTGTGTTTTAGTTGTTCAGCAGCAGCCGTTGAATCTGATCCCGTTCTGCGTTCGTACCTCCAGCTTTGATCAGCGGCAGGAAGTGAGTCAGCATGTCTCTGGTGGCGAAAAAGTTTGTCTCGAGGGTCACCTTGGCCTGGATGGCGAACGGCGTTGTGTCTGCCACTAAAGAGAGAGTTAATTAGCAGCTCAAGCTGCAGAATAGTCTGTTTATTCAACCAAGTCCAGAGAAACAGAAGGTACCAGAGGCAGGAGAACTGCTTCTGCTTCTGGATTTGTGCAGATACCTTTAAATGCGATCCCAGCGTTGTTGATGAGGACGTCCACCCCTCCGTACTTCTCCTTAAAGAAGGCAGCGGAGCTGCTGATGCTGTTCAGGTCATTGATGTCCAGCTGATGAAACAAGGCCTTCAGGCCCTCAGACGCCAGAGACTCCACCGCCGCCTGACCTCTCCCCCTGGAAAACACCTGGATTATTTATTTTTATGACGAGGTTTGACTTTTTGATACCAGAGTTGCACGTTGGTGTTTTTTGTCAGTGCTTGTCAAACCAAATTTAACTCAAAGTGAAGATAAATGCCGGGTGCTTGCAGGTGGGACAACCGTGTTAATCTGAATTACATGGCAGCCCTTGAATGGCGTCCATCAACAATGAATACTTATTACAGGTACTAATTCAACATATGATGCTCAGTTGTTGTTGTTGTTGTGTGTGTGTGTGTGTGTGTGTGTGTGTGTGTGTGTGTGTGTGTGTGTGTGTGTGTGTGTGTGTGTGTGTGTGTGTGTGTGTGTGTGTGTGTGTGTGTGTAACTTGCTAAAGCATGCAGACGGCTGATCTTAGAGGTACGCACACATCTCTGGCTGTCAGGTAGACATCACCCTTGTACTGCTTGCAGAGCGCTCTGACAATGGCGAACCCAATGCCTTTGTTGCCTCCGGTTACCACGGCAACCTTGGTAGACATATCTGCACAAAAGGTGACATCAGAGGATGAACCTAAACTCAGCAAACGCTGAACACAGGGATGTGGAAACGTCGGCTGTTTTATTTTGTTATAAAATGTATACATGTTTTATTGTTCATTTTTAACCTTTGGGACATAAATAGTTCCGCATGTTTTTGTTTATATTTTTATGGCATTTCTGAGCATGGCAGCAGATCGTCTGGGGATCACGTGACTGCATTCCTTCAGAAAAGTGACTGGTTCCTGTTCTTTGTCAGCAGTGGGTCACTGATCTGATCTTTTACACACTTCTGTGCCTTTTTAAAAACTTTGAATCAGTCACAAGCATCAAATTCAGGTTAATCCTTCATCTTGGATTCAAAACAACTTCCCAGTAAAGCAGGCTTGCATTCTACGGCAGCTACTTTCATGTTGGGCAACGCTGACTGCAGTAAGTCGGCTAGAGTCGTGATTAAATGTGAATGTTGAAAAACCAAACAGCCTGCTAATAAGGAGCGAGGCAACAAGAAGAGGGTTTCCTACTTTAATCGGGCGTCGTAGCGCTGACTGGAGCCGCTGCTGCAGTTGGAGAAATCCAGGAAAACAAGGGGCGGAGAGCAAAACGTACTGCGCACGTCCGGAAATACACGGTGGTCACGTGAGCGGCGGGGTCTCACATGGAGCGGAAGTATAACATTGTGTTGTTTTTCCACTTGTAGCTGCTGTCGCTACTCCTAGCTGGCTGTAACCCGGACTTTCCGTCGCGTGCAGGAGATTCTCAGCAACACATTTGCCCGCGGATGTTTGGTCTGTAACATTTGTTCCATTTACCCGCGTTTAATCCACGAATCAAGTCAAAAATAATAGTTTAACGGACTTTAAAATCCACGTCTACGCTAACTGAGGAGGCGGGTTTCATGGTTAGCTGCGCTTTCGGCAGATTAGGATGAAAGGGGGCTAAAATAAATAAAATCAGAATGTGAGATGATCTGGGCTTTGTGACACGGAGCTTTACCCTGCTTGGAGTAGCTTTCAGAGGTTGGGTCCACCTGGTCATAAAGGCATGGACATGGTCAGCAGCAATACTCGGGTAGGCTGTGGGGTTTGAAAAAGACTCAGATGGGACATGAACACCTCTCACATCATCACACCACCACCGCCATGCTGGAGCCTTGATGTTGGTGACGCCGTCTCTTTCCAGTCTGCCGATTCTCCTGTTTCTGACGCTATTCTGTAAATGTTAGAGATGGTTGTGGGAAAAATCCCAGTGGATTATTTTCTGAGATACTCAGACCAGCCGGTCTGTCACTAACAAACCTATATTTATCTATGTAACATAAAACATGCCATGTTCAAAGCTTCTTACGTTTCCTTCTTTTCCTCCAATCGGTTGCTCAGTTTGATCTTCACCAGCTGCCTGCTGTCGCGTGATTGGCTTATTTAGATAGTGCTGACTCAGAATCTGGGCAACGCATCATCCCTCAGTTACAGTTTTTAATAAAAACACGCTGACATCATAATTTTGCAGTACTGCAGGAGTTGCATGTACCTCTGGAGGTTAAAATAAAAGTTTGTATCATTTGAAATGTTTAGATTAAAATTACAATGATGAAGAATTAGGAGGAATAATTTAACTTGAAATAACTCATTTAATAAACTCACCGCGGGTCCTTTCGGAGGTCATGGGAGGTCACAGCCGAAGAGTCGGACGAGCTGCGAGAAAGCGGCGGCAGAAACAAGAAAACATGCATTCAGGTAGGCAGAAGCTGGCCTGCAGCATACGGATCCATCAGACACAACAAACACTTGTCTCTGTGTGTCGTCAGTGTCACTGAGTCCCCAGCAGCAGTACATGAGGCTGATAAAGTTCCTCCACCAGCGAGGGTTCCCCTCCTCTCCGCTGCAGCCGACCCTCTTCTCCGGTACAAAACCAGATTTCTGGTTTCTTAGAGTCAGTAACAACTTCTCTTTAGATTTTTGATGAATCGGTACCCTCAGAAATGCCGATGTGAATGTAACCATGGTCATGATTGAAGATGCTGGTGTTTGTTCTCACTCAGACACAGGCAGAGGGCTGAAGACTCTCCGAACTATTCAGGTCATTTTTATAATATTCTATCAGCGTAAACAGCAGCTTCGAACCTGGATGTGTGCTTCTGTATTTTAACTTTTCAGAGTTTTTTCTCCCATCAGCCTGGTGAGATGATAATTTCTCTACCAGAATCTTGTCTCATCACAACATCGACTGTTCTGGACAGCTACCTGGGCCCGTACATCAAGAGGTAGTTACCTTGTCTTTGTAATGATTTCCGTTTTACTGTTGGAGTCGATTAGCTTTTCTTCTTCTGTGCAGCTGGAGTCGTCGTCTCTCACCTCTCCTGGTGCTCTGCGTCTTCCTGGTGTGTGAGCGGCACAGAGGAGAGGCCTCTGATTGGTTCCCCTACATCGATGTGCTACCCTGCACCTACACCTGCCCTGCATATTTCTCGGATGATGTCATAGATGTGCTGCCAGCTGATGTGCGGAGGCAGGCGATGGACCAGAGGGAGGCGGTGCGTCAGCTGCACTCGTCCAATGAGGACTTTTTCAGGTGCGATCAGCAGGAAACGTCAACCAGGAGCTTATTTAAGCGGTTGATTGGTTCTTAGTCGAGCACATCACCATGGTAACCGATGCTGAAAACCTTGAGTCTAGGTGGTAAATTGCATTTAATTTTGTTTGAACTGGTTCAGGTCCCTGCAGCCAGCTCTGAGCCAGCCCACAGATGTTCTGACCTACGAGGCTCTGAGGTGCTTACACACACCCACGTCGGTCAGTTACAGCTTGTTTGGAGTTCAGTGATGAAACTTTTCCCATCCTCTCGTAGGTGGGCATGGTGTAGTGTGAACACTCGCTCCGTCTTCATGTCCCGCCCACCTAACCACTTCCTGTCTGGACAGGACAACTATGCTTTGGCTCCATTTCTGGACCTCCTGAACCACCGCCCTGATGTGCAGGTCAACTCCAGACCTGTTTTTTTTTTTTTTTTGTTTGGTTCAGTTTCATCTGACTGAACGATCTGAAAACAAGCTTCACTAAATGTTTTCCTCCAGGTAAAAGCAAGCTTCAACAGTCAGAGCAGATGCTATGAAGTCAGAAGTGTTGATGGGACGAAGCGCTACCAGCAGGTGTTCATAAACTACGGTTCCCATGACAACCAGCGACTTTTGTTAGAGTACGGTTTTGTTACCATGGACAATCCTCACAGCGTCGTCTATGTGGAAAAAGGTAAAGAGAAGGAAGCCTGTTCTTCTACAGCACACCTGGACTTTACATGGGTTCATGTGTGATCACTTTAAAGTAAACCATGTGATAAAAGCCTGCTCAGATACTGCATGTTACAAAATAAAACCTCTGAAAGATCAGTGTGTAATAACGTGACGACCTGCGGTTCTCCAGATCTCCTCTGTGATGTGCTGAAAGGTGATAAAAGTTTGGATCAGAAGATGAAGTTCCTCAGAGAGCACGATTTCCTCCAGTAAGTTTTGTTTCTGAAAACCATTATTTGTCCATTTTCACGATGCGACTCACAAAATTTAAACTTGGGACCTAAATCATACAGACATGTATAATAAACACATGAGATTCATTTCACGTCTTTTTAAAGCTTTTTCTGTTTAATTCAGCCCAACTCAATACTACATTTCTAATAATGGTAGAATAGACTATTGATCCCACAGTGGGGAAATGCACTTGTTACAGCAGTACAAACACTTAAGAGAATAATTTGAAGAAAAATAACAAGGGTACATGTATATACACACATAGGCAGTAAGCTAGTGTTTTAACCTTCAACCACTAAAACCACAAAAAATGAAAAACTCGGGTTCCAGAACTATTCAGCGTACCGTAAAGGACACAGACATTCTATGTAAAACTGGTATTGCAGACATACTGAGTATTGCATTGGTGTTATTGTGTACCAGGTGAATGCCAGTACCAGTTAAACTGAGGAGTTATACACTCTTACTGCAGAGGAGAGGAAAGACCTATGGTAGCGTTCTGTTTTACATCTGGGATGTCTCAGTCTGCCTCTGAAGGAGCTGTCCATGGTCTCCACAGTGGAATGCAGTGGGTAGGAGGGGTTTTTAAGATGGAGGTCATCTTCCCCAGCATCCTCCTTTCACACGTCTCCTCAACTGAATCCAGTGGGCAGCTCAGAACCAAGCTAGCTTTGTGAACTAGCTTGTTCAGCCTCTTCCTGTCTCGGTCAGAGCTGCCTGCACCCAACAGACCACAGCAGAGTGGATAACAGAGCCAACAGAGTGATTAAAGGATTTTAGCAGCTGAGAATTAACTCTGAAGGACCTCAGCCTCCTCAGGAGGAGGCTTTGGCCTTCTCATACAGAGCATCTGTTTTGTTGGACCAGTTCAGTTTACTGTTGAGGTGAACACCCAGGTACTTAAAGGTATCCATCACCTCAGTGTCTGCTCCCTGGATGTTTACTGGTGAGAGAGGAGGAGTGTTTCTCTGGAAGTCAATCACCATTTCCTTCATCTTACTGGTGTTCAAATGAAGGTGGTTACGCTCACACCAGTCCACAAAGTCCGTGATGACTGACCTGTACTCCTGGTCATTCCCCTCAGACACACAGCCGACAATGGCCGAGTCATCAGAGAACTTCTGGAGGTGACAACTACTGGTGTTGTAGGTGAAGTCCGAGGTGTAGAAGGTGAAGAGAAAGAGTGAGAGCACCGTGCCTTGTGCAGCTCCAGTACTGCACACAGCCTGTGTTAAAACAAACCCAAAATCCCACCTCTGTGCGTCACTGGTGCTTTATTCGCCACACATCTGTCTTTAAGAGAAACTGAGGTTAGATCCTACAAGACTAATAAGCTAACAGCTAGACTGAGTTGTCATTTAAACAGTTCCACTCCTTATCTGTCAGCGGTTCGAGTGATGATCAGTCTACCCTTTAACTGCCATTAAGAGCTGTGCTGGTGAAATATTTTGATGGGGTGTAAAATTCTCATAAACTGCTGTGAAAGGTAGAAGTCTGGTACAGTTTTATCTTGGCTGTTCAGCCTAGCCGTTAGCTCCTCAACCTTGCAGAAGGTAACTCTATTTCTCTGAACTGAGGCTGTTTAGTGGCATGTAAGACCTTTAGGGTATATAGAGCTACAGAAAGTGATTCTCATTAGTCTCATTTGTCCACATAGCTTTTCCTAGATTATCTATAAATTAGCACAGGTGCCTCTCACTGAAGGGTTGATTTGAATCGTATTCATCAGATTTAATGACGTTTTGCACTTGAAGGCACCAGATAAGTTTGCAGAAAGATTCCCAATTCTCCTCCCCTTCTCCAGGAACCTCACTGTGTCCAGGGAAGGTCCCAGCTGGAGGCTGATGACCGCTCTCAGACTTCTGTCTCTGCCACAAACGCTCTAGTAAGTCTTTGTCCACATCTGTGTAACGAGGCATTAGCCAGATTCTGCTCTAATCTGTACGTTTCTCACAGCCACCTCTGGAAGGCAGCGCTGCTCGGCCAGGCTCTGTGTGAAAACCTGGAGCAGTGGGGCGTAGAGACGGTCATGGCTTTGTGTCGGCGACTTCAACGAGAATCACAAACAGCCTTAGAGAAGGTACACACACACACCAAAATGTTTCCCATGGATGACCCTTAACTAAGTCTGCATCTGTTTAGATCACACACCTGCTCCAGCAGTGTGAGCAGCCAATCAGAGATCAGCTGGAGATGGTGAGGTCCTTGCGGCAAGAGGAGAGCTGGATCCTAGAAGGCTGTTTTAAAACACTTGAGGACAACTTCCTGTCATCCAGACCAAATGACGGGGCGATGAGGTGACGCCGGAGCGGTGTAATAATCCAGATTACTGGCTGAACTCTCTCCTGACTGGTCCCCCAGAGCACACAGTTGGCATCAAATTAATGTATTTAATAATAAAATATTTTAGCAGCTGAATCAACAAGAATCACTTTTTTTTAAGATCCCATTTGTAATTATATTTTTATTCAAGACAAATATTTGGTACATGTAGGGGGCGAGGCTTAAAATGTAATAATGGAAGCAGCCACTAGGGGGTGTAGTCATCAGTGTGATTGGTTTCTAGTTCTATCTGATGCATCGTCAGCGTGTTTTATGTTTATTTGTGGTCTGTTACGTTTGGTTTTCTTTAGCTGAACAACCTTTACACATCTAACCAAGAGAAAGGACTCCTGGTATTTGTGACGTTTTCAACAAATAACCAGAAGTGAAGCATTTTATCGTTTGCGTTGTAAAGCTAAAATAAAACTAGATATGAGACAGGAATGTAGTTCAGTAGCATGTTGAACGTCCAGAAGGTAAATCTGGTCAAACACGTCCTGATCTTCTGATTCCAAAGAAAAAAACCTTGTCACTCCCAGTGTTTTGATCAAAGTCACATTAACATCACAATATTTCACTCAGAGCTGAACAACAGCCTTTTTCTTGGGGTGAAGCTGCACTGTTTCCATGGCAACCGTGGCTTCATAAAGAGGAATTACTTCCTGGAGCTGAGGCCTGCAGAGACAGATTAGTTCAGTAAGACGAGGTCCTAGGTACACAGCTCAGAGGCTAACAAGGATATGAAAATAAAATGTTAATTTTTACTGAAGAAAAGTCGTGGCTTTAGGACACTAAAAGGTTTTGAGGCTGTAACTGTTGTGTGTGGCTTACCTGAGGACTCCAGCAGACATCTTCTCCACAACGTCCTTCAGAATGTCTGAAAACAGCCGTTCAGGACCAAGAAATCCTTAAAAGGCAATGTGCTCTGGAAAAGACACCGAGTTCAGGATACGGAGGTATCGTCCCTGCTGAGCCGACGAAGCGGTCCAGACCTCAGGGTTGAGGAAAGACACGGAGGCTGATTTTAAATGAAGCAGTCTGCAGTCAGGAGGATCCAGCTGATGATGAGACCAGCATTTAAACCCATGGGAACAGCGTTCTGTCTGACCTATTGTGATGTCATCTGCATAAAGTCGTCTGATTCCACTCACCTGCAGGTCCTGGTGGGAGGTGACCCAGTGCCCGCCCACTCCCAGTATGCTGATGATGTCATGTTTATGTGGGAGCAATTTCTCCTCTTCCTCCTTTTCCTGCAGACTAACTTCTCACAGAGAGAAATAAAAACATTCAGTTTTGTGGAAACAAATTTTTCCAGCTGGTCCTTGAACGTGAATCACCTGCAGCCTTCCAGTTCACTCTAATCTAAGATGGCTTCCGTTTGAGGAAGTAAATGTTATATAAAAATTACTCGGTGTGAATGAGTCTCAACTAATGCTCACTTCCCATAAGACTGCCTACATCCTGATCATCAGAAGGGCTTTTACCTCCAGAATCGATGACGATGTCCACTCCCAGCCCGCCCGTTTCCTCCAGAACGGCTGACAGCAGATCCGATGAGCCATCATGAACTGGAATAACTCTGACTTCATGCACAAAAACAACACAGTCAGAGGTCAAGTAGGTCTCTTCTAACAGGTCATCATCAAAACCTGACAGGAGCATGCACCTTGACATGTTTTCCACAAGGTGGCAGCAGCATTTCGTGTCTGATTAGACAAAGTCCCATCACACACTGGTGAAATCTGTTCTATGCATTTGGACCCCCCCCCCCCCCCCCCCCCCCCCCCCCCCGGGAGCAGTAAGCTGCAGACATGGCCGCGCTCGGGAACTATTTGGTGGTTTAGAGATCAGTCATGATGCAAACACAAGCACGCATCAGCTGGAAAGAGGGAGATCTCACCTACTAAAGGATCCTGAACGCCTGAGGAAGGTTTGAGGTGTGAGGAGGCAGGTACAGATAAAAGACGAAGATAGAGCATGAAAAAACAGAAGAGCTATTCATCAAAAGAAGAAAGAGCATCACAAGGAGTTGTGTGTGGTTCTACAAACCTACGCTGGGCCGGAGCTGCTCCAGGAAGGTGTGCTGCTGTTGTGAGTGTGACGTCGTCAGGACCTTCAGGCCGTGGTAGCAAGCCAGCTGGATGCACATCAGGCCAAAAGGCTTAATGATGAGAAGAAAAGAGAAATTACAATTCCACTTTACAATAAGGCTCCTCTAATTAATGTCTAATAGTCTAAAGATATGTAATTAATCTGTAACACTTTTGAAATCATTAAGTGTTTATTATGCATTAATTAAGAACAAGAAAAAGGCAAAACTGGTCAGTTTCTCGTCAAATACTGACTCACGTCTGTTCACCTATTTACAGCTAGATTGATATTTATATTTGTATCTAGAATAAATAATTCAATATTTCAGACAAGCTTCTAAGCACAATGAGCATTTGGAAACACGGTTCGTTAGCAAATAATATAATTTATTACTGCTGTATCCACCTCGATCAAAGGGAGTGCCATTGCTAAGGTTAAAACACGTAACCATGACTTTTAAACTTTTATAAATGCCCGTTTTACACTTTTGGCATTTATAAAGTTTATTCAACATAATAAACTGTAATGGTGGTTTTATTTATATAGAATATGTCCTGTACATTCAATGTGCCTTAATAGTTCATTTTAAGTAGTTCATGTTTTACACTTAAAACTCCCTTTGATACAGGTGGATACTTTTAATGCAGTAATAAAGTACAATATTAAATACTAATCAATCATTTCCAAATGCTACATGGGTAGTAACCTCATCTCAAATGATTAATATATCAATATAACGTGATATAAAGTATATATGTGAACAGATTAGGCTCACTAACATGAAATCGGTCATTCTTTTCCCTTTCACTCCCCTAAAGGTGCATGAAGTAAGACTGACATCTTGTGGTCAAATGTGGATACTGCTGTCCATGTATCAAAACATACAAGTCCGCTCTGAGCAGCTGTCCCCAGTTACGCATCAGAACCAGAAGATTCTAGATGACGAGTGAAGACGAGTCAAACTCTGTAAGTTGGTAAATACATTTCACTGTAATGTCCAGTTGTTGGTAAATGATAAAGAAGCTTGAGATGATTTTAGAGCCAACTATTTGTTTCCAATTCACTGTTAGCATTGCTAGCTCAATGTTAGCCTCTAGCCTTCTTCACCCAATATTAGAGTAAAACAAAAGATGCAGTAGCTTTTTAGTGGTACAAGAAATAATATCTGGTTCACTCATGTTTACTGGCTTAGGTTCTTTTAAACAACTCTGCTCCTCGCTGCTGGCTAGTATCAAATTACAAATGCCAGCTCAGGAACTTTTGCCAGCGCAGACATGGCAACCCTGCTGGCTCAAATATGATTGGCTCTGGAATCAGGAAGTATGGAGGTGAGGTGACAGATTGCAAACAAAGGGTGTTTCTCAATGTCAAGGAACCTTGCCTTGATGTCTTGCCCCGCCCCGGTTGCCTAGGAGATACGTCATCAGGAGCTCCAAGACGTGTTCCAATCGGTTCCAATGTTCATATTCTACCGAGGCGTGTGTTCTCCGTTTGTTAGCCGTTTAGCTAGCTGAGCAAGGACACACGGGAGGTGTCTTGTAGCCTAGCCTTTCAAAAATTGCCCAGAATACACTGCGGTATTTTCAAAAAGATGGTGGATCAGAAGCCGGCAGCTACTTCGGGGACAATTTTCAAGTTTAAAAGTAAGTCAGCTGATTTAGAATGTTTTTTTTTTTAGATACAAAGAAGTTATCTATTGTTGGTTAGTTGCTTTTTAGTTGCAGCTTCGGTGGCTAGCAGGTAGTAACTCGCTTATATTTTTAATTTAATAAACATATACACAATTTAAAAAGTAAAAGACTCGTTATATATTTATATTGAAACTAATACATATAAAATATAACATTATCTCTCGTGTCACCCAGTCTTTAGGTGTTTCTCAATGTCAAGTCGCCTTGCGAGGCAATGTTTTGCGAGGCCAGGAGCCTTGCTTTCACTGTCCTTCCTTGGTCAAAGAAAATGGTTAAATGGAACAGACTTGCATCATGTGACAGTGGCTTCCATGGCGGTCACGTAACGTAAGTGACACGGGAGACAACGTTATATTTTATATGTATTAGTTTCAATTTATATCTATAACGAGCCTTTCACTTTCTAAATTCTGTATATGTTTATTGAATTAAAAATATAAGTGAGTTACTACCCGCTAGCCACCGAAGCTGCAACTACTAAGCAACTAACCAGCAACAGATAACTTCTTTGGATCTAAACTTACTTACTTTTAAACTTGAAAATTGTCCCTGAAGTAGCTACCGCCTTCTGATCTGCCGTCCTTTTGAAAATACCGTGGTGTATTGTGGGTACAAGGCTAGGCTGCAAGACACCTCCCGTGTATCCTCGCTCAGCTAGCTAAATGGCTAACAAACGGGGAACACACGCCTCGGTAGAACACGTCCATTGGAACACGTCCTGGCGGCTACCGATGATGTATCTTCTAGGCAACCGGGGGCGGGGCCAAGACATCAAGGCAAGGTTTCTTGGCATTGAGAAACACCCACTGAGTCCCTCTTATTTTTTTTAATAGGAGAAAAACTGACAACCCCCCACCCGGCGGGGTCAGGAGAATGACTGCGCTGGTAAAAATTTTTTTTCCCACTTATCTAACTCTGGGAAATATGCCAACAGACAAAATTTCAATTTTGGGTGGAATATCAATTTAAGTAATGCATAACAAACACTTATTAATGATTTATAATGTGTTACAGATGAATAAATAACAAACTATTAGTCATTTAAAGTGAGAAAAACTCGAGTCAGGCTTAAATTTCTTGGTTGGAGATAAAATTGATCAATTTCACCGCATAAATGGCTGATTTAGTGATATTATTTACACTGGCTCCATCCATGACCAGGAGTGTGTGTCCGGCTGCCATGTGAGCGTGTGTGTGTAGAGCAGTGTAAGCACAAAGACCATCACGCAATGCTCCTGCGACACACGTGGAGCTGAGCTTCTGTGGCTTCTGAACTGCAGAAAACACAAAAGAAACGTTCTTTCACAGGATTTTTCATCACCGACATCTGAACTCATATAAAGTCTCTGATTTAGTCACGTTGAACCCTCTTTAGTCACAGATTCCACTTATTTTCATGACACATCCACTTAAATGAAGTAGATGATTATGGCTTTCATCTTGTATGAGTGAAAGGCAGAAAGCAGGAAGAGCTTTCTACACGTACAGCTTTTACATTACTGTCAGACTGCCAGCAGTGCTTTACTCTGGCTGTAAAACCATAGAGGTAGAGGAAAAATGGATGATAAGCAGCAGTCCCTTTAATCTGTTCTTCCTGCTGTCCTTCAAGTTAAGTGGGAACAATCTGACATTTTAGGTCAGACGGACCTTTTCATTTGAGTCACATAAACAAGACCTTTCTCTTTTCAGAAAAGGAAAATTAAGATTTTTCAGCCTCAGCACTGAACATACCAACAGATTACACGTCTCTTGTGAAAAATGTAGTTCATTGTCTGCATAAAGAGTTTTATATATAGTTATGTAGATCTCTGTGGAGGGAAAAAGACTAATTCAATAAAGAGTCGAGTTGTTTTTGGCATGTATTTAAAAATATCCTGTCAAATGTGGATATGTCCTTTTGCTTCTATTTAATGTTCAGAATAATAAATCCTGTGAATACAGAACATTTCAGTTTAAACAGCTTCATTGTGGCAGCGCACACCTGGATGCTCAAAATCCAAATTTAAACAGAGTGAAAATTCAAGCATGAATGTGATTCCTCCGGGGCATAGTTTCACATTTGGACGTGACCTTGTTTTTCATCCATAAAGGCCTGCAGCTCGCTCAGGAAACATTTTCTTTCAGTCTTTTCTTTTTGTTAGATTGTGAAGCAATCAGATGTCAACATACTGTTTGACGCTGAGAAGGAGCAGATAGCAGGAGGAATAAAGGCGCTACGTACACTTGCGCTGTGAGTGAATTTGCTTGTGAATGCGTGTTGGAATTACCTAAAAGGTATTCATCTATGTCAATGATCTCACAGAGTCCTGAACAGGAGGAGTCCAAAGGAAGGATCCCTGTAGAAGAGAGTAGTTTTACAGACTTTTTTATTCAGTTGGGTGGAGTTTGATCTAATCTAATAATCAGGGTTGATTTTAATTGGTAATCTTGGATGATAACCAGACAATAACACCAACACCCAGTTTTTCTTTCCCGAATAAATATAATATCTCTCAGACTTAAACTGTTCATGAAGCTTTAAAAACTCCTTATTTAATAATTTCCATTTTTTTCTCTTGATCTAAATTTATTTAAAAGTATTTCTCACCCACAACTTCATCTTCAGGCCGAAAGAAGGTCACGCTGGGGTCAACTTCAGAAGAAACATACAAGTCAAACCAGTGCTGATACGACACTTTTATGGCATGAGTTGAAATCATTTTACTTGCACATATTTATTTATTTAGCCATAAAATACCTTGAAGGACAACCCCGGCCACCACTCTGCCAACAGGAATTAAATCCTTCTGGATCCCAACATCTCTGAGCAGCTGAGGGGTAAACAGAGGTGAGCCATCAGAAGTAATCATCATCAGATCAGCCAATCTGATCAAATCTAAATTTTTATTTTGGGCACCATTGCCAAACAGCAATAAATCATCTGACATATTTCCTGGTCCAATAACCCACCATCTCTATTAATTAGTTATAGAAATAACGGATCTTCCAGTAGTGAAAAAGGTAATAAAGGGGACATATTATGCAAAATGAACCTTTTGCATTTTTTTTTGTTTTGTCATGTGGGTCTCTACTACCTCTATAAACACTCCAAATGTAAAGAAAAAAAGTCTGTCCATTTTCTGTTAGTGTTTGGTTTTAGGAATTTTATGCCAAAAGCAACAAGTTTCAAAAACTCCCTGTTTGTGACATCACAAATCGGGAAAGCAGAATAGAACCACCTCTCACGTGTAAGAGAGGAGCTACTTATGGAGCAGCGGCTCAACTCTGGGCCACTCTGCTTAGAGCAGCCAATCAGCAGAGGGGAGGGAGTGGCCAGCTCCAGCTTGTTTTCTTAAAGTGACAGAGCCCTGAAACGGCTCATTCTGGAAGGTACTGAAAACGTCAAGAAAAAACCTGCTGAAATCACTTCAAATGAGAGGGATTTATTGCAAATAACTTCATAAAAGTGTTTAATATCGACCGTAAAACCAATATAACATATAAAAAGCCAAAATCAGTTCTTAAAATAAATCAGTCAGTCAAAATCAGTGTCAGACCCGCTCAGAAATCAGCATCGGCCCCCAAATCCTGAATCACTAATTTGAATTTTGTGTGGCATCAATTCTGACAAAACCTCTCTAGGTACCTTGAGGTCCAGTGGGCTGAGTCCACAAGCCTTCACCCGAATCCGGACCTGATGGCTGCCTATGACATCAGGGAGAGTCTGGAGAGCAGCAAGGACAAATACTTGAAATGTGATAGAGTAAATGAATGAGTAAACACAGGAAAAAACTACAAATATCACAAAACTGTGCTATGTTTCTTTAAACACACAGCCTGATCGAAATTTCTTCTTTAATTTCAATAAAAAAAGAATAACATAACAAGAATTAAAATTATAGCACATTTATAAACAAATGCATTTCTTAACACTAATATCTGCTGGTCTGAAGGTCTTGTGCCCTGAAAACTAAATAATTACAGTAAAAACATCAGTAGCATACTCACCGTTTCCTGAATAACGAATTTGGACTCAGTATCACTCACAGCAGCTCGACAGTATAAACCTTTCATACTGCTGCACCTTCAGTTTACGTAAAACACATAAATAAGGCAATGGAATCTTATTATAACTGATATAAATGTTTTGAAGTAAATAAATGTTGTTTTCAGACGGCAGCTGCTCAGTCGGAATCAGCTGATCTCTTCTTCATTACTGTCTATGTTCTCGTCACAACTTTGGCAGCGCCCTCTGCTGGCTGTCGCTGAAACGCGCATTCGACAGATTTGTGTTAAACTACAAAAACCAAATTCATAACAAATATTCAATCTTTTTCCTGATTAAATTTTTTTTATTTCTCCTGTTTTTTTTTCAAATTCATCACAAAGAATAAAATATGCCTCGAAAATGACAAGAGGTCGCTTAATCCGTTTACGGAGATCCTGGCAAATAAACAGCTATCGCGAGATTGTATGAAAGCGATTAATTATCAAGGAACTCTCGCGATATGTGAATAGCGTTACCCCATTTTCCAGCTGTCCCTCAGTCGGTCGGGATTTCTGGACCACGGGAAAACCGCTGGGAAGGGTTTTAGTTATAAACCATCCCATTTCGGAAAAAGGTTTTCCATTTCATGGTTACACAACCCCACGGAAAGCAATTTTAACCGGTACTTCATTATGGAAGCCGAACTATGAGGTAAGAGTGGAGTGGGTGATGTGATAATGTCCCTGAGCGGGCTGACGTTAGCCATTAGCTATACTGATAACGGTTGAGCAGCCTGTCGGTCAGATTTACTTCATGCAGCATTTAGTCGTCAACACAAAACTGTCTTAATAATCTGTCTTTGCTGCGTCTGGTATTTTATGACAAGAGCAGAGTGGTAGGACACCAGGGAATGGTGCAACCTAGTCACAAGTGAGGAGTTAGCCAGGATGCTAATATGAAATCACTGCATCTGCACTGACTGTGACCTGACGTTAACGTAGACCAGTGTTGCTGGTGTTTAACCTCTGACAAGATCATCTTTGACAAGAGTAGTTTGATTAAGTGACGTGGTTACTTGGCTTGCTGGGCAAAATGAAGTGACTTTCCAGGCTCCGAGTTGTTGTATCTGCTAGCCTACTAGCGTTTGCCAACATAAATAATGATGTTTGTCCCTGTCGCCTCAGTGAAGTGTTGTCTTTTAAAAAAGTGCCACGTTGGGTGTTGAGGGAAGTGCGTTGTCATCTTTGAGTCAGTCGGAAGTCAAGCAGGAAGTGAAAATGGGTCACCAAGCAGGTCTTTTACTTGAAATGCTCTTTCCAGAGAACTGGGCTCACTCCTGCATCACGGAGGATGCAACTTTAGTGCCCGATGGACAAAGACCTGTGCTTCAGTGAGAGATGGTTTCCATGGTAACATGGATGCTGACAGGTCACTGAAGCAGGGTGATAAGATCTTAAACATTTAAAAGTGTACAATAATTATTAAAAGAAACACTTTATTGGAATGTTGTTTCCCAATTGAAGGTTTGGCTGCATTTCCCCTTTTGTGAGTTAGTTTCCACATGAGTCTGCATAATTACACTTGTGACTGAACAGGATCTGCGTCATACTGTTTCAGTTAATTTTGTTTCAGAAAAAATGGACATTTATAAATTTAAGTTTGACCTTTTAATCAGTATGTAGTTAACATATTTATCAGTAATGAAAGGGTTTATTTACCTCAGACACACTGTTTATCTGTTCTTGTTTAAAGGTTTTTGTTGGAACCTTGTAACAAGAACAAGCAATGTCCTGAAAGTGTCTGGTAAACCTTAAATATGTAGAACTCTGCCTGTTAAAACAGACTCAAATATAAAGTAAACTTTAGGCTAAATTCAAACAGTACAACAGGCTTCAGATAGTGGACTTTATTTTCACTATGATTAGCACAAGAATCAGGATATTTAACCACATTTATTCAAACATACAAATTCAGCACTTGTTTATATATTCATATCTGTCTTGTTTTATAAGGATTTTAACCCTAATCCTTCAGAAACTTATTGTTAAACATTTGCAACAAGGTTTAATCAGACAAACCTGCCAGAATGACATTACATTTCTTTATCAAACAATCTGGCTAATTTAGCATTTTACTTTCTTACTGGAAGATTCAACAGAATTTGAGGGTATTATTATTATTATTATTATTATTATTATGCAAACATGACATTTGATTATAAAGATAACATGACTTACAGATTTGGCTGTTATAAGTCTGTCAGCCTTACGCTGTTAATAGGTTTGTAAATTAGCTAGGGCTTTTGTTTTTTTCCCATAAAATGACATCTTGAAGCTGAAGATCTGTCTCAGTGTGATGTATTCATGTGGGTTTTAGTTTTGCTGTGTGGATGACAGCGTCGCAGAACCATGGTGATCCCCTTCACTAATTTAACGTTGTGCTGTTGAGCTTTTGGCTGCAGAGTTACTGAAGCTGAGGGAGGACAGACGGATGTACGACATAGGCTGCAGTGGTGTTGTGTGTGTGTGTGTGTGTGTGTGTGTGTGTGTGTAGTGTTTGAGAAGTCATGTGAAGAGGATATAATTATCAACATGATCATAATTAAGGAATTACTCCAAAAACAGTCAGCAAACAGTCTTGGTTGGCGAGCCTCCAGTGTTCCTTGTGTTTCTCACCAAACACTGATTATCCTGGAAAAGAGGATTACAACGACCAAAAACATCTGTAGGAAATGATCAGTCACTAGAAATGGATAACCATGCTACTACGGCTGCACAATATGACTTGCAATAAATAAATACTTAACTCAAAAACAAAAAAAAATCAAAACAAAGACATTAAAAAAATTACTTTAAAAATATCATTAAAAATGGGAAATGCTAAAATTTTGATCAAAATATGTGAGGAAAGGGAAAAAGGAAATGAACAAGAAAAGGCAATCAGTAGATCCTGGGAAAAGCAGGAAAAGCTAACTCAGGTGTTTGCTAACCGTTCAATTGCTAAGGGGGCGGGCATCGAACCTATACACACCCATTGGGCCAAATGGCTGAAGGGTTCTTTTTCAAAAAACTCATGCTTCCGTTTGATTGACAAAGTGCATTATGTGTAGCAAACATTTGAGCTGACCATTCATTGCATTTTTTTTCGCTGTATGAGTAATGCGTATTGTGCATGCTGATATAGCAAATCACAATGTATTGTGCAGAACAACACGCAACGCAATACATTAATAATTGCATTTCTCACCCTTATGTTATTGATTTTCATTTGTTGTACATAAGTACTGTAATGAATTAAATTACATGTTATTTAAAGGGACTTTACAGTGTTTGAATTTTTATGCTCGCGATTGCCCCCTCAGGCCGAAAGCGTAATGGCAGCTTCAATAGCAGGCTTATGCACGAGGTGCATGCTGTACGTGCACACTCCTTAACGAAAATAACAGCTGAGACAGTCCCGTGTGTGTGTGTGTGTGTGTGTGTGTGTGTGTGTGTGTGTGTGTGTGTGTGTGTGTGTGTGTGTGTGGCCCAGAGGACAGGAGAATGTGCAGCTAATTAATTAAATAATTTGGTTCTGTACCTTTCTCTTCAGCACAGCCGACAAAGGTTTAAGACGGGTCAGTCCTCCTGCATGCTCAGATCATTCCCTTCCCTTGCTTGAAAAATTGTTCCAAAATGAAAGTTGAACCCACATCTTTTTTATCTGTGAATTCAATGCCGTTTGGCGAGTCTCAAATAAAAAATTGGGCATCTTACTGTAAACAAAATACCATTAATGTAAAAACGAAACTCTAAATGACCTATATTCGCACCCAGAATTGAACCCAGGTCTTCTGCATGGGAGTCAAACATCTTACAAGGTGAGCTACACTCTAGTAACATTCATAATATCTGTAACTTTTATATCGTTGATGACACCTGAAACAACATTAAACCAAAGAACGGTTCGAAGTGAAAATGGCTATTTTGTTGCTAATTTGCAGGAAATATCTAGAAGAAAGTAGCTAAGGGTCCTCAGAAATGTAGCTAGGTTCATCACTAGGCATTAGGAACAGCGACAAAGTCGCTGAGTTGGCACTACCTCACTCTCTGCTGCTAAAGCTGCTGATCGCAAATGCCACGGCCGATGCCTGAGCGTTAACGCGCATGAAGCAGCCTGCTCGACCCGAGCAGCTCTCTTTTTCTGTGATTTTACAGAAAACCAGGCAATCACAGTAAAAATGCCAGGGCTCATTCTACAGGACCAGGGCACTGCAGGAGAATGTATGAAGAAGAAATTTATTATTTCTTTTGGCTGTCAAACTTCCATAATGCCCCTTTAATAAGCCATAAGGCGTAGGATTCCATAGGAAATATGAAATCCACCTTATTGAATGTGAGGTTATTTTAAACCAGAAGATTGGAACTTTTTTATGAAGGGATTAGATAACGGCTTCGTATTCACTCAGAGACAACAGAAGAGAGAGAGAGAGTCAAGTTTAAAAGTTAAGAATTTTATTACTAACAAATTAAACTAGACTGACTTTAAACACTAAGTGTATGGTGTAACCAAGGTGAATGAGACAGTGAATGGGGTGAGGTGTAATGTTGCTCAGAACCAGCAAAACCAGAAGCGATTAGTTCTGATGGGAACTGAAGGTGATGTCTTCGCGTTAAGCTTTGATTAGGAGATTCATAAACACATTCAACGTTTTTTGTCGGTCTACATACCCTTAGTGGAAGTCCCCATTAGATCAGGAATGTTGAGGCCCAGCTTGACCTTTTCTGGAACCGAAGCCGGTAGGAAAAGCTGCAGTTGCCAACCAGACCAGTCTGTGAGATACTTCCGGGTCACGACAATTTATTGGCGTCTAGTGAGACCCGAGCCTGGGTCTTGATGGTTCAGCTTTTATTCTGAAAGGAACTGTTGCAGCAGTTTGAACAGCAACAAATTTTCCAGTTTGTCATTGGTTGTTTTGGTTGAAGAGGAGAGTTACGGATTGGCCACTCCGTCACTTTCTCTGGAACGCTTTGAACTGGCGTTAGAGATGATGTGGCATAGTTTTATACTTAGGATGTTTTGGTTTATGGTCGATTGACAGAGTTACCAAACTCCATCAAAACCACGCCTCCGTCAGATCTGTCAGATTCTGATTGGATCAGTGAAAGTAATGTGTCATGTCTTTTAACGTTACGTAAGATCAGTCCTGTTGGAACATTTAAAGTCATAGTACCTTTATATTCTATAGGATTATAATAAAGTAATTAATATTTTGATTTCACAGATCGGTCACATCTTATTTTATTGACTAACACTTTGATGGATTAGCTTTATTAAAATAGAGTTCTTGTATTAATTAAAAGAAAAGAGTCCATTCTTCATTCTTCTGTTGAGCTGAAAATAAGCAGGTTAGAATGAATGCATGAGACCTTGATACTATCTCTCATGCAGACTAGTCCTGTGTCAGAGGAGGGGGAAAAACAGTCATTTCATTCTGTTACAGTACTGAAGACTGGGACTTAAATACTAGGAGTTCATGTTTAATTCAGCACACCACCAGGACCCTTTCTGTGGTAACTTCATTAAGAGTTTGTTAAATTATTTTGTTTGTGTTTTTCTATTTATATTGCAATCTCGCCAAGTTTGAGCTAAAATCCGGTTTTTAAAGAAATAGGTCTTTGCAGATCTTTGCCCATGAAAATCCTATTTATTATTATTATTATTTTCATTTA